TCACATTTAACAATCATTGACGAGACCTTTGGGAAAAACTTGATTTCTTGTTGTGTTTTCTTTTCTGTTAGGAGCAAAGGGCAGGAGATATGACTGTAATCAAAAGCAATCACCAGGAAGAGGTAAAGGAAAAAAAAAAAAAATTTAATATAAAAATAGAAACAGTATACATTCTTAAAAAGTTTGTTTTGGTTTTCTCCATAAAAATGTGAGTTTAAACAGATTTTCTTTCAAATACAATCTTTCTTGTTTTCTATTTCCCACTCTTTGTCATTGTTGTTGCCTTCCTATTTTCTCAATGTTTATATCATCTCCTCTATCCCTTTTTCCCTAATCTCTCCTCACCCCTCTGTAGCTGCTTGACAGTGGTTGGCTAGAGGAGGAGGAGGAGCGTGTGCTTCATAAGAGAGCGGAGCTGCAGGAGCTGGAGGAGGAGCTGAGGAGGAGAGAGGAGGTGCTTCTACGCAGAGAGGCCTGTCTGCAACAGAAAAACAAACTAGAGATCAAGAGGCTGCGCTCCAGTCAGGTGAGCCTGCATAGGCGTTGGTACCGCTGTGTGATTTATTATGATTTAACCGTCTATGGCTGATGCACTTATGGATTTGGGCAACATGTGTTATGGAAGCCCAGCCCTGGAAGTTTATATATATCAATGACTCAGCAGACTCTGAGTCAGAACCTGCTGAGTGTGTCGGTGAGGTTGGAGTCTCTGGAGGAGCAGCTGGGGAGCAGCAGCAGTGTGAGGCAGACTGGAGGAGTCACCATGGAGGAGCTGAAGAGAGAGAGGGACACACTCAAAAAGAGGAGAGACGCTCTGGACCGCGAGCTGAAGGACAACAGAGTGTTCACTGTGGAGGTCAGGAAACAGTAACATTGTATTTGTGTGTACTGTACTGTACGTATCAGGGTTATTAGTGTAAACTAAACCTGGTTACAAATGTATTCTTACTAAAATGATCGTCGTATTTTAGAATAAAACAACATGGCCAGTGTTTAAAGGTGGGGTAGATAAGTTTGAGAAACCGGCTCGAGATACACTTTTTGTTATATTCCATGGAATGCTCTTAACATCCCGATAGCAATGAATATCTTAAGTGCTTTGACAAAAAATCCATTAAAAAATGTCATCTGTGGAAGCCGTAGTACTGTAAAAAGCACGACCAATTATTTTAGGCCCGGCTAAAATAACTGGATGGCCTACCTGCCCGTCAGCCTTCCATCTGTGCACAAACTTATTTCGTGCCCTCATTGGTCATGTGCGCGTTCGTGTGTGTTGGAGGAGGGGCTCTATAAGGAAGTGGCAGATTTTCTCCGGTTGTGTATTTTCAAATTCTAGCGATCTCGAGCCGGTTTCTCAAACTTACCTACCCCACCTTTAAATAGTGTAGTAAATGAATTGCCATTCAACCAGGCTATATATATATTAAATATATTAACTAGTGTTGCGATAACGTTTTCTTCTGAATGTGGTAGTGAAAGAGGACTCAAGTTTATTCAAAATTCAAAATATTTAAACAGGCTATTCCTACAAAGGTCTCCACAAACTGAATCTTAATGAAACAAAACAAAAGTATTAACTTGGTATATATAGCACGGGACATTATTTCTGGAAGCATTTTATTTTCATTATTGTGCAACTTTTATATTGTGTGCACTGTGATTTGTGTTTGTCTCCATGTAGGAGGAGCATTCCCTGCTTCAGCTGGAGGAAGCGATTGAAGCTCTGGATGCAGCTCTAGAGTTTAAAAACCACTCCATCCAGGACCAACAGAAGAGGTTGCTGATTAAAGACTCTTCTTCACATCAGCCTCACAGCCCTGACCCCGCCCAACTCTGTGATGTCATCAGGAAGCTGAAGGACCTCTCACCACCCGAGGCCTCGGAGCTGCTCATCAGATATTTCAACAAGGTGAAATTAAATATATGCACATACATTATGGAAACTGCGATGGCCTCTATTCCAGCTTCTTTACAAGTGAAAGTTCTCTATTTGTCTTAACTTGGTCTTCCTTTCCTTATTTATTGTTTAATATTTATAAGCACATTCCAATGTGTCTGTTGGTTTCCTTAAAACATGTTTATTCATTTGTAAAAAAATGGATTCTGCCATTGTCAATGGAAACTGACTCCATCTCTTTCTGTTTTATGTTTCTGCTTCTTTCTTCCTCTGCTATTTACCTTTGCTTGCTTTTCTCTCCAGTTGACACGTTTTTGTAGGTCAAAAACTGAGCCCAACAATTCCTATAATGGTAGTTAAATTATAAATGGAATCCCCTCCTTCATCTTTGCAGCTACATCTTAATATAACTTGATATAACTTCTCTCCAGGAGGTTTGTTTGCACCATGACAAACCGCTTCCTAACTGTTTTTCTGTCCTTACAGTTAAACCTAACCCTCTTCAGGTGTGAGAGTAAACAAAGGTACAGCCATTATCCCTGTAATTATATGCAAAAACATCTACCTTTTCTGGTTCCCTCTCGCCTTTATAAACCTTCCCAGGTTGTCTGTCTTCGTGAGGTGGAGGGCCATTTGCGTTTGCAGTGTGAAGAGCTGGAGCTTCATGCCAGAGAGCGAGAGGTGGTGCTGAGGGAGATGGAGGTTGCCACGCAGCGTGTAGCCCTGGATGCAGACCGCAGGCTCACCCAGCAGCACCAAGACCACCAGAGCAACATCCAGCTACTGCTGCAGAAACTCAGAGGTGAGGAAATTAGATCACCAAGACCATACCGTTTGAATGTGAAACTATTCTGGTCTTCTCTTTACTATTAGCACAGAAATTGATTGAACATTGCTGTTTCATTAACTTTTGTGTCCCTATATTCTTGTGTGTGTGTATGTTTAGAGGGTGGTTCAGGAGAGGCACAGCAAGCTTTGGAAGAAAGACTGCAGCATCTAGAGAAAGAGCTGTTTTTCTACAAAAGCTCCAGCAGGCAGCTTAAAAAGAAACTCAAAGATCTTGTCAGTGATGCCCTACACCCTGTCGATCAGCATTCACACACACAGGAGAACAGACACAAACACAATGTGCAGCTACATGCGAGTGCAAACAAACCCCAGACGCACACTGAAGAGTTACAGACAAGAACACATATTGCAACAACATACACAAAGATACAGGCTGAGCAAACAGACAAAAAGGCACACATCGTTTCTCAAATGAGGAGACATGCAGATCAAACCCCCAGCCCCTCCTCATCTTCTGACCTCCAAGCACGCAAAACAACAAAAATGTCTGATTACAACCATACTCACACACAGGGGGGGAGTGACAGGGGGGAGAGTTCACAGATGACACCTGTCCGTGTGTGTCGCAGAGAGCTGAGACAGATCTCTCCAGCTGATCTGCAGGTCTGTAGTTCTGCCACAAGGAGGCGACAGTCTGCTGTGGAAACCAGCACAGAGTCAATGCTAGAGGACTCCATAGAAGTGCCCAGAAACACAGACAGATGATTTATCACGGTACTGACGAGTCAATCTAGAGCAGTGTGTACATCTGATACCAGTTGGGTACTATTGAAACTAAGAAAATGCATCCCCTCATCTTGAGTATCTTGTGGAAATGTTCATGCATTTTTCTTTGGTATAAAGACTAATTGTAGGTCTTTGTTGGGCTTTGGATCAGTCAGTAGCACCCATTAAATTACTTTATACAACCAAGATACTGGTATATATGCAATGCATATCCATATTCACATTTTATTCAATATGAAAAGCATGTGGTTAAAGTTGAACAAGTTTTATTATTAGCTTTTTTTCATAAACACACCCATACTGTTGTATATCACAAAATAGTGAAACCACAGAAAATCAGATCTGCAGAGTTTGTGACCAAAGGAGAACAAAGCGACTGAAATGTGGTTAATATTAAAATGTTTTCCGTTTGAACCAGTTCAGTCTCTCCTCGTAGCCCTGTCCTCCTTTTTTATTGGTCCTCTCTGGTGGTCACATATTTACCAGATCCTGGCTCTGCTGAAGGATTTCGCCTTTCAACAAAAGAAGACCAGTGTTGTCATGACAACAGTGACCCTGATAAAAGGCACGCATAGAAAGACATTTCCAATAACTTGGCTGTGATTTTTTACTTGGAAATATAGTGAAATTTTTCCATTTGGCAATTACAGATTCTTGTCTTAGCTCATGCCACACCCAAATACAACACTGCAGATTAAATTCTGATTTTTTTTTAATCTTATGTACATTGTGTAAGAATGGAATATTTAATGCAAAAAATAGCACTTTTCTGATTAGTTAAAAATATTTCACCAACTGCAATCCACTAAAACGATTATCCTTGTGAAGAGAATTGCTTTGTCTTTCCCCTTATTTTAAGCACTGTTCAGCACTTAGAATGGCCAGAAGTTGTGTTTTTCTGAATTACAAAAATAATATAAGGCTATGTAGTTTTATTTATGCAATTTTAAATACAAATGTTGAATGTCTATGTGCAATATGTTCTTTTAGTAGCATTATATGTTGAGTGCTGTGTAAATAATGTTTTATATGAATGACTCATTACAGTCAAATGTATTAAACTTTTTGATATGCATATCTTACTGTCTTGCCTTTAATGTGAGGGCTCATTCAATCTCATCCTCAACCCTTACCCCTATAAATCCTATTAGTGGGTTATGTTGATCACTTTAATGTTGTAGCTGGAATAAATTGAGCTAATTAAAATTCTTAATATACTGCTGAGTAATTTAACCTATAATAATATAAGAACATGTATAAGGTGGTTTATAGATTGTATTAAAACAATTATTCTGAAACCATATTTGACAAATAAATGTAATGGTGCAGCACTACAATGTTGCATCAAATGGACATACTTAAGTAAAAGGGTAGTCAATTTGAATCTGTCAGAAAATGTTATGTATATACTGTCGAATATACACATTAATATAACCGGTCTGATATGCATTAAACCTCAGCAACAGCTTTCCTTTGTATTAATGGCACTTTAAAACGAAAGGGCGAGCTACAATCGTTGTTATCCTTTTTGACCCCACAGGGCTGCTGTAGTCAGGCAGTCGCTTGTAGCAAACCACAGTAACAGATAGCCCCTTCACGAACAGGTGAAAGTAGTCTTTAGCAACTTTTACTTGACCTTACTATCTCTTCAAAACGATTCACAGCGTGTATTAAAAACAAAGGACCAACGTAAGTTCATTAATGTGTTTTTGACTGTCATGCGTCGCTACTTTTGCACTTGTTTAGGAGCTAACGAACCCGGCTAAGCGGTGTGCTATCAGCTAGGTTAACTTGCTGCTATGTAATGCTAGCAGCTACATTGCTACATACGATGCAGCTCAAATCAGATGTAAATCATCATCACGACCTCCTGGTATGATTAAACTCACTCATTGTAAAATGTGTGGATTCCATTAAATGATTAGGAAGATATTTTATTGTATTTGAAAATATGCTGCAACTAGAAGCTAGGTTCTTGTTTTATGACTGAATTCAAGTTGTTATAACTGTATTGTTCGTCGTCTCCTTTTTCCGTCGGTTAGTTTAGTTTTACGACATGGCAATGATCACCGTCCCCACCACCGCCTCCCGGTTCGCCCTGCTCCAGATAGACTCGGATTCAGACTCTGACGCCTCCGACGGGGGGAAGACCACCAACAAATCCGGACGGGACTCCTCCGGAAAGCCCCGGCAAGGAAAGGCAGGAGCCGGGGGGAAAGGGGCTCAGTGCAACGACAAGAAGAAAGACAAGAAAAAGAAGAAGAAGGAACAGCAGCAGTGTGAGGCAAATGAGGTGAGTGAGGGCAGCATCACATTCCCCTCCTTCACACATGTTACCAGGACTTTGTGACAGACATGACTCGAGTGTATTCCGCCTTTGTTTCACTTCACCTGAATTGAAACTGTTGAGAGAGGTGCAGGTTACATCCCAGCAGACAACAGACCATGTTGTCTTTGTTTTGTTTTCAGTTGTTTAAAGCAAGTGTTGACATTGATGTAAGTGTTTAACCAGCATGCTATTACTTGATAAGACACATAACCAAGCCTTTAGCAACATAGCTGAAGTAACACCTGATATTCCATAATATTGTATCTGATAATAAAAAGAGAAACTAAATCAACTCAAGGTTCAAGTGTACAGTTAGCCTGATGGACAGAGATGTCTGAATGGATCGTGGTTGATGATCAGACCAACCATCAATCTTTATTGTTTAGTGTTATTACTTTTAAGTATGACTATTGATATCCAAAAGGGATCTTCCCACCCCTGCACCATTTTGTGTGCAAATAAATAAAAACAATAGAGCAAAGCAATATTATTATCGATGGTGGACATAAGAAGAGTCACTGTTGGAATTAATCTCATATCTCCCTTTCTATCAGCTACGTAATCTGGCCTTCAAGAAGCTTCCTCAGAAGTCTTCTGCCCCTCCTCCCTCGATGACTCTGTCAGGTATAGCCGGTGAGCTCCTCAGTCCTGCATCAGGGGACAAAGTGGCACCTCCAGAGGGGTGGCAGCAGTGGAAGCAGAAGGATGAACAGGTAAGCGAGCACAACCACAATAAATATGTGATCTGTAATATCCAAAATAAAGTTTTCTCAATAATTTACACGTGCTTCACTAAGACCCCGTTTACACGAGGACGATACGGGTTGTATCCGCATAGTTTCTCTTGCGTATAGCCCTTTGGTTTACTCGAGGCCGTAACAAAATGATAGAAACGGACCCCGTGGATAGATCTGCAAACGGAACACTCTGGGGGGGCAAACGGCTCCGTGTGTACGCCTCTCTATACGATCATGATAACGATTTGTTTTAAAGCTCAATAAATAACAAAGACGACCTCTGACCGGCACTTTTCTAATTTTCTCCGTAAGATTTCAACTTTAACGGACATGTTGACCGGCGAAAAAAAATGTTAACGGAAACTCTGCCGCACGGTTCCCCCGTCCCTGGGAAGAGGTGGAGAGGTGGGTGTTTTTCATCTGCTGGTGGACTACCGGAGAGATATACAGCAGGAGAACACGCCGTCCACCGCGGAGAATAAACAGAAGGGCAACCATGCTCCGGGGTCTTCTTCGCTGCTTTTGGTGTATTTTGTGGCGGCAGCAGCGCCAACTACAGGCCCGGCATATGTACTACAGCATTTCCAGCGGTCTCATGTGAACGGACACGTTAATTGAGCCGAATGCGTGTGAACAGAAGACTTTTTTGAAAACGCATACGGTGCGCAAACGCAAACGTTCCCGTGTAAATGGGGTCTAAGCCACATAACTTCCAACAGTATAGAGTTGTTTTTTATCGCTGTGTGCAATAATATGAGCTTGAAGCCGACCGCATTACATCTTTCCTTGCCCTCTTTCTGAAAACTTGTTGTGGGAAGTTATGGCTGCATTAGAAAAGAACACATGCATGACTTTTTGAATATTTTATTTTCCTTAAACTGTTCATGTCGGACCTTACAGACAGTAACAACTTGTTGTATCAAAATGTCTCGTATTTTTCTTCTTCCGCTGTAGATAACCAGTGAGCTCTATGAGGCTGACTTGGAAAAGGCCTTGATTCTAAGCAAACTGGACTTCGAACAACAAAAACCGGTACATTTCCCACACACTAATGGCGCTTTTCCACTGCAGGACCTAGCACGGCTTAGTACGGTATGGTTAGGCCTTGGTAGGCCAGGCTCACTTTATGCTGCGTTTCCATTACAGTTTACCAACTGGGGTAGTAACTATAGTAACGCAGTGTAGGCGGGACGATCGGCTGTTCGGCGGGCGGAGCGTGGCGTCATCTTCAATGCGAACCACAAAACCAAAACATCAGCCGTGAGGAGCTGTGAGCCCTCAGAGCTCACAGCTCCTCATATCTGTTCAGAAACTAGACAAAAGTTAAACAAGTACAAACCACAGGCTGTCTGTGTCGTGGTGAATACAGTCGCTGGTTTATTTATGTCTGTAGGCCGTTGTTGTGAGTGTGGACGGAGCATATACAACATTCGATCCAATCTCCATTCAGAAAACACGCATTTTAAAAGGTTTTTCGCCTGCCGTCTTGTCTGCAGACCGGTATCAGTATGTTGTTACTTCGGCATCATTTTGAAACGTGTATTACAATTAAATCACTGTAAAATATGTTCATTTTGTTGTTGTAGCCCCCTTGCCAGCGATTCGCTCTGACCATTCAGCAGTCGAGAGTGTTTACGTCACTAGTTTAGCATATCCAGCCCGGTTGTTAGCCCGCTAAGAACCTCGATTTTGGAGGGCCAGAAAAAAGGTGAAAACGTAGCCCTGAGCCGGATTTACCCCTAGTGGAAAAGCAAAAAAAAGCAGGTCTGGTTTAAACCGTGCTGCAGTGGAAAAGCGCCATTATATATCTTTTTCAAAAGGTACAGTGAGCGGACTGTTGTCAAACATAACTGCTGATTTGGACTCTTGACTTACTTTTTAATAGATAACAAAAAAAGTTATTTATAATTTTTTACATATTCCTAAAATCCAGTGTGCTGGAGTATGTCACTCTCCATTTCATATAGCATGAAACAGAGGTTGAATTCAGTTTTATTTCAAAGTCATGTTAAAGGTTGATTGTTTTGAATAGTTACCAGAGGTTAAGAGCCTTAGTTCTACGTTAAAGTTGAATGATCTGTTTTCACACAGAGCAACAACACAAACGCATCCTCGCCAAAGGCACCAGTAGGTAAAGATGGCGGAGGGAAGAAGGACAAAAAGAAGAATCAGCAGGCGAAAGACAAAAAGACAGTTTCACTGCAGGACTTCCAGGCTGACGGCAGTGCAGGTGAGAGAAAGAGATTAATCCGTTTCAATAGTCTTTAAACTGTGATCGTGTGTAGCTCCCGTTATAATATTAATGTTAATGACCTTTGTCTCTTTGCAGAACATTTGAATAAGAAGCAAGAGAAAGAGGTGAGTCCCTGAGCATCTTTTCCCTTTCATAGCCCACATTTTAAATGTTTGCGTACGTTTAATTTGGCAGAATGTACTGTATATAAATGTATAATCAAAGTAACCAGTAAATAATATGCACAGGGTTTTATTTGGGGTAGAATATCAAACATGATGTATATCACATACCTTTGGAAACTCAAACCTTGCTCCCTTTCAGGATGCCAGAGTGGTTAACGTAGTGTTAGGGAACGGGCAGGAGGAGCGCTTCTTCAACAAGGTGGAGGACGACGTCACTCGAATTGTCCAACAGGAGAAGAGACGCGAGCTGTTCACCAGCCAGGGACAAGAAGTCATCACCTCCACAGATCATGAACCAGTGAGTAGACAGGCAGAAACACATAACTATAGGCTCAGCATTTTGTTTATATTCTGCCTCAGGTATCTACAGCACATGAACATTTGTGGCACGTAAAGTTGTATCTCATTTGTATTTGCATGTATCTCCTATATCTGGCCAGAAAGACAATAGATCAGCAATATAAGATGAGTTTAACATTCAAATGTGACTTTTATTTTCACCTCAGAGTTGCTGGGGGTTTTCTTTGTGTAATATCCTGGGCTGATTTTAACGACACTTTCACCATGTGTTTGACACCCCTGTTCTGATCCGTAGTCCTGTATCTAGTAAGCAGGACACTTTCTAAGAAAAAGCAGTGACTTATTTTGGGACTAGATTTAGTTAAAGATTAATTGTATTAGTGTGCTGTGACTTCTTAGACTTTTTTGAAATGTGTCCTCCTGACTTGCTCTCTTCTACCTGTCTGTAAGGATCCCCGAGCAGAACAGCTGAAGTACGATCTGGAGAAGAAAGACGAGGAAATCGAGAAGCTAAAGAAGAATATTACACAGTGGGAGGTCAGTCCGTTTTCATAGGTCTATCTATCTATCTATCTATCTATCTCTCTATCTATCTCGCAATGATGATTAACTTTAGATTCTTTTAAAACTTGTATTCTCAACTTGCTTCTCAACTCTACAGGGGAAATACAAAGAGGTGAAAGCAAGAAATTCCCAGCTGCTTAAGATGCTCCAACAGGGAGAAAGTAAGTTGAACCAAAGTGACGCCCAATATCCCTCTGTGCTTTTCCTTCCTTACAAAGATTCAAAAACATCGTTCTAATGTTTTCTGATTTCTCTCTCCTTCAGTGAAAGATAAAGCAGAACTCCTTCTACAGGTAGAAGAGCTACTACACATAAAAGAAGAACTGTCATCACAGGTAGGTTACGGTCATATAAAGATTATGAGAGAAGAACACAGATTGATGTGCATTTGAATGATACACGTTTTCTATTTAGGTATCATCACTACACGCTGCCCTTGAACAAGAAAGGTCTAAAGTCAAAGGTCTGCAGTCAGATCAACCAAAACATCAGGTAAGAGTTTAAATAATCACTCTTTTATTTCCCTTTGTCCTTATTTATTCAGGCAGCCTCATTGAGATTAAGACCTCTGAGAACGTTAAACATTTACAAGAACACAACTACACATTAAAACAGTGAAGAGAATCATATAAATCACTCCAAGGGGCATATAAGCCTTGAGTTTGTAGTTCATTCTATTTGTCTGGTAAGTGTGTAGTAACGTTTTAGAGCGAGGACACTTGTAAGCTGATGCTAATGTATGTTTGCATGACTGCCCCTTCTTTCCCTTTCTGTAGAACAGAAGAGACAAAAAGCAGGCAGTCAGTCAGGTGAAGTGAGAGAAGTTGCAGTGAAAGTAAGCCCAGGTGCAGTAATACAGAGTTATATAGTTTAGTACTAAAGTACATCCAGTGAGGTCTGTAAGTAAGCTTATTTTCAGTTCAGAGACTTTTAATTGTTCTTTTACTTGCAAGGAATTTAATGACCTATAACATGAACTGAGTCATCAAAATATGTTGTCATACTTATAATAAATAATTGTGTACTTTCTGGGGTTTTCTGGTTTGCAGGGAAACAAAAGAGGAAGGAAAGGCTCGGAGATGGATGTATGAAAGGTCCCAAATGGGAAAGACCATAACATCAAAATTACATAAAACAATGAACAAATGAATAAAAAGCACGACTGATCACTATCAAGTTTTTATTTCCTTTGTTTTTTATGTTTTTTTGCTTGGACAGAATGTCAGCATATAATGCATGCCCCCCTATTACATACACATACAAAATTACACTCCAGAGGAAGCAGGGTGTTTTAATTATCGGATCAAGAATTAACAGAAGCTCCTGAAAATGGTTTACTTCAAACTTTGTGTTGAAATGGTTGCTTGGCACCCGGTGCTGCCCTCTGCAGGCACAAGCATAATAGTGTTGTTCAAGGCTGGGCGCCTGTTCTGATTTTGTTGGGGTTTTAATACCAAAATGACGTGAATTGTATGTTTCTTTTTTTCTTTCTCACTGTAACGTAAATAAAATACTTTTCAGTGACAAAATGTGTCTTTGTTGTATATTGTCCCAACATTTAGACAATACAATGAAACACAGAGGAGATGGTAATTTTGTATGTGTGGTACCATAGTGCAACAATTTACGAGGAATCTGATAAAACAACTGTGCTGTGAAAAGATGTCGTCTTCAATGGGGAATGGACATTTAAATATTAATATAATCTTTTAAGAATGATTAATACTGGATTTGTGGTGTACTATATCTTTAAGTTGACACTGGTTACATAACTATTAGTCATCATGTAATCCGACTGCCCTTGTAAATACCTACATAACATGAACTGACATTTTAAAAAGGGTGTCGGATTTGTATCTGGGTAGATTTTAATCTTCACCACCCTGCGCAGTCGGGTCAAAGCTGGCACAACTTTCTGCTGAGTCATCGGGACACGCTCCTCCGGCCCGGGACTGCGCGATCCTCTTCCTCCTCAGGTCCGCGTCTCATCCTTCTCAGGTCAGCTCCTCTTCCTCCCCTCAGCGCGGTCAGGACTGAAATGTCAGGTTCGGAGAGAGATCAATCGAGAGCACAGGATGATCGTCAAATCTCTGAAACGATTCACGTCAGCGTCAAAGGTCCAGCGGAGAGCAGAGAGTGCACCGTGAGAGGAGACTGCACCGTCACACAGGTCAGGAGGCCAAACGCACCTTAATAAATTGGCTTGATATGCGCTTCGGCTGATAGTCTGTTGTGGGGTGTGTTTGTATTTGTGTGCAGCTGAAATGGTCTCTGGCAGAGGGTGTGGGGGTCCCGGCACAGCAGCTGTCGCTGATCCACTTTGGTCGCGTGCTCAGGGAGTCAGAACTCCTGAGTCATCTTAGGGCACGAGATGGGTGTGTGAGCCTCTGCATGATCCAAAGGTATTCAAACACACAGGCCGATATGATGTTTGCTCAACAGACACAGACCAACACACTTGAGATGTAAATTATCTGTATTGTACATTCTGTATTTGCCCATGATAAGCTTTGTGTAGAATTCGGCATGCAGCCTGTCAAGGTGGATGGTTAGTGTTACAGGTTTATCCCTAAAAACAAATGACATGTCACTCTTGTGCACTAGGAATGTCAGTGTTAGTAAACCTGATTAAACATACTATACAGAAAGCCATGTACATATACAGTGTCACTTTATGGTAGAAAAGTAAGCACATCTAAATATAGAATTGCACCTTGATGCCTTGTGAAAAATAAGTTAGAAATCAAGTCAGTGTCCTAGTTCCTTAAGAGAAGACTGGCATGCTTGTAAGCGTGAACTGACATATATAGCCACACAAAATCAAACAAATAAATAAATGGATGCCATACTTTAAAGATCAGCAACTGTTCTATACTGGGAAAGCTAATGTATCAGTGTGAGACTCAAATAGTGTAGATTCAAATTCAGTCCTTCTTTCTCAGGCCTCAGCTTTCGTCTGCTGCACCCACCTGTGATCCAACTTTAGAAAGTGTCCAGTCGGAGCTCACAGCCGCTCTTCATCCGGACCCTGACAGTATCACGCCGTCTCCCACCTCGCCCCTTTGTCTGGGTAATAACAGCACAACCACCCTATTGTGCCTTGTTTTTTATGTTCTCTTTATCAATGGTTATATTGCTGCTTTGGGGAGGGGGGTCCAGTCCTGCTCTGCTGGCCAGTTCATTTACATGCACCTGATTTTTTAAATGTGATCTTGTTTCCATAGTGGAAGGTCTTGACAATTTTGGCCAAACAAACAGCGGGCCTGGCTTCTTTTCTTCACTCCAATGCCAGATGGAGAGCCAGCTGCTGGCTGACCCGGAGATGCTGCACCGTGTCCTGGGCAGCCCCTTCGTACAGACCACCCTCTCCACCTCCAGCCCTCAACTAACCAGACAGCTAATTCTGTCAAATCCCCAAATTCATCAGCTCGTGCAGACAAACCCAGAGGTTGGAGATATGCTTAAAAATGCAGATGTTATCACACAGGTGGGGATTAAAACATCAAAGGCTACATGATGTAAATACATAACTCAAAATATAAATTTGACCTGTCTCTTTAAATATCCTTTAGGATTATGAGTGAGTTGTGTGATTTGATTTAGTTAAAAAACCTGATAAAGGGTATTATTTCCTAGAACTGCAACTAATTTCTTCCACCTACATGGTCAAGATGTTCTATCTCTTGCCTCCCTTTCCAGGTGCTGGAGCTCGTCAGGAACCCCGACATGATCGAGGATGTGATGCATGATGAAGACAAAGCATTAGGAAATTTGCAGCCAAAGCAGGAAAACCCTGAAAACACCAATAGGGATTCTGGTGGCAATCCGAAGACTGACACAAAAGATTATCACGGGTAAAGGTTTGGAAATTATGTTTATTTTTAACTATCTGTTTGGATAATGACAAAACAAATCTTTTTGTGATGTCTCTTTTATACTCAATGACTATTATGTAGTCATATAGTTTTCAGTGCACTCGTCTATTTAAAATGTCACATTGTTAAAGAGAACTCCTTATTTAAATGGAAGTTTCAAATAAACCAAATGTGTTTTCTGCCCTTTACATTATTTGTTATGTTATTGTTGTTATATATTTATATTTATATTGTATAAACGTATACTTAAATGCACTCTTCTCGGATCCAGATAGCAGCATCCCGAGTGGGGACAACATCATCTGGGGAAAAACAGCCAAATGAAGGAGAAAGAAACAAGACTCCACCCGTCTCCAGTGACTGTTCAGATCCTCTCGGAGAACTGAGAGCTGATCCGAACCCTCAGAGCTCCCTCACTGCAGGCACAGACATACACATCTATCACAGTTCAACTAAACTAACATAAAAAGTAGAATATCATCTGGCAAACATGTACTTTTTTTTATTTTCTCAGCTTTCTGTCCCTTGTTGTATTTCAAGTTATTTTAAAGTTGTTGTTACTCACTGCCATTTCCTCCGAAACAAACCAAGATACAGGCCAACATTACCACAGTATTATTTGGTGTGATAACTATAATTATTCATGTATACTTTGCACGTTTGCAATATGGCATTTTCAAATCGCAGGAGGCGCAAGATTTTTTGAAATGCCAAAAGTTCTTAGCCTACATATATTGTTCTACAGAGTTAAGAAAACATATTGGTTTGGTACAGATTAGCCAACATTATATTTGTAATAGGTTTTTCAGTAAAAATATTCAAAACATTTTTAAATGGTGAGCCCTAAAATATGTCCTCCTGCTCTCCCCTCAGGCATGCAGTCTCTGCTACAGGAGATCACAGCCAGTCCCGGGCTGATGGAGAGCCTGCTGTCTGGGCCGTATGTCAGCAGCCTCCTCCACTGCCTCTGCCAGAACCCAGACCTCGCTGCACAGGTGATGCTACACCATGTATGGGTGGATGAAAACCAGAGGTCACAGAAGTACTCCGATTGTAACTATCAGAGAGTAGGAATACTCTGTGACAAGTACAAGTCCTGCATTCAAAATGTTACTCAAGTAAAAGTACAAAAGTATAAGCATCAAAATAAACTTAAAGTACCAAAATTGAAAGTACTCATTATGCAGATTGGCCCATTTCAGAATACCATCAATGATATGTTTTGATTATAAATATTGATTCATTAAAGTGTTATTAAAGCTGGTAAAGGTGCAGCTAGTTTTAATCACTTTGTATGCTGCAGGTTAGTTTGTGAATTTTACTCCAGGTGTAACTAAAATCTTACTTAAGTGTTGTTTATATTTCACATCATTAAACTTAATTAGCAAATAAGCTAAAGGTACTAAAATTATGGAGTGGAGTAAAAGTACAAATTAGCAAAACATAAAGTAAAGTAAAAGTCTCACAAAATGTTATATCAGTACAGTACTTGAGTAAATCTACTTAGTTACTTTACATCACTGATGAAAACACATAAACATATATAACAGGGAACGCAGTTAAAAAAAGATGCCTATTTTTACTTGACAACTGCATAGAATCCTTGTTATTATTTATGAGCATATAAATTGCAAAACAGTAAATCACATGGTCTGCAATTCAGAACTGGGGGGAAAAGATAGAATCCTCCCCTCCCCATTTCTTGTTATATCCCCATAATCTCTCCACATAAATCCTACACCTTCTTTAAAGCTCTCATTTCCATTCTGTTTCAGATGCTGCTGAGCCACCCTTTGTTCTCAGGAAATCCTCAGCTGCAGCAGCAGATGAGACAGCAGATCCCTCTCTTCCTGCAACAGGTTACTCTCCTCACTTTCTTGCAACTAGTTTAAAACAAAAAGTATCATGGATTGCTCAACATTGGGAAAGATGTATTGTGTGTGATCAACTGTTTTTATTTCCTAAATAGATCAACACAAAACAGATGTTTGTTTTGTAATAATTGGCTTGTGTATTTGTTAGCCACACTAGCAGTCTGTGTCTTTAAAACCTGTTAAGCCCTAGAGCCCCCTGTACAGGGGGCAGTGGGGTGTTTTTTCACGAAACTGTGTCTCAGGGCTTCTTAATATTTAAAAACCTATTAATGTGTCATACCCATTTAACGGGAAGAAACTCAGCTAACTGACAATACGAACCATTTTTACCGAAACAAAACACAAGTCTCACAAGAAGCGTCTAAATGAGCCCTGAGCGAAAAAATGCTAACACACTTACCACAGAACTCAAGGTAAAAATACCCTTATTACTTATCGTAACTGCAAAAATATATATCAAATTAAAGCTGAGATTCCACAGATTCTATAGGTATAAGTATCATCACTGAGCGATCAGAACTCGTGACAGGGGAAGCAAACACAGACGTCACAACACGTGAATTACGGAACATTCACGGGAAATCGTCTCAAATTAGCTGTTATTCTGATCAATAGTCATGTTCAATGGCATTAAAATGATAAAAACGCCGCTGAAGGTTAATCCATAGGTTAATCCAATGTGTCTGTGTCACTTTGAAAGGATTACTGATAATCCATCATTGCATTTTTATGTAAAAAAACGGAGATTTCATATTATTTTTATTTTTATAAATCTCTCTAAAGAGGTCAAATGTCACTTGTTTTACATCAATCTTGATACAGGGTACTTATTATATGTTGTAGTTTGGATTCCTAAAGCTTTTAGTCTACTAACCCATCATCCAAGGGTGGTTTTCACTATAAGTAATGGTTTTTTTGTAGGCGGAGGTAAGAATTTACCTTTTTTTACAATGTTCCATCTGAATTTACTCTGACACAGAAACATCTATATTGATTCTGACACTTCTACATCCATCTCACAGATGTAACCTTGCTTTGAGAAAAAAGATTATTAAATTTAACCCTTTTAGAAGTGAAGTTATAGTCATTTGTTCTGGGCATGTCATTTTCGAGCCTGAAACCTGAAAAACAGGCTCAGGGCTTAACTGGTATGGACTTGATGGAACACCCGGAAGTTTGTTGTAGTTTTGATATTCGTCTGACATTCACTCTGGATCCAGTGTTATCTTTTTATGGAAATGGTCAAATGTAAATGCTATTAATAGTTTCCATATCATGTCACTGTGTATATCGTGTATGACTCCAAGTCCATACACGATATTATAATTACATTGGACAAAATAAGCACACTTCTTTTTATTGGGTCAGTGCCACATGATATTTTACATTAATCAATGCTCTGAACTGCAAGTTTATTTTTTTATCTGGAGTATCCCTACTAAAAAGGTAGCTTCTGCCACAATGCCAGTGCTGCTCCTTCCCTTTGCTCTCTCCCATGCGGTTATTACTCTCTCTGCCAGAGGGGGGAGGCAAATGTTCTGCACTCCAGCTTTAATGATCAGTGCTCAATTTGTAGATGCAGAGTCCAGAACTGCTGTCAGCCATGTTGAACCCCAGAGCCATGGAGGCTCTGCTCCACATCCAGCAGGGCCTACAGACTCTGGCTACAGAGGTTCCTGCTCTGATACCTACGTGAGTTTAAATATTAAATACACACAATGACATGGTACAACTTCATCTCAAGATGATTCACAAAATGATTAGGTTACTGCGTAAAAAATAATTACTTTTATGCATGGCACATTCAAGGAATTGTAAAAAAAGTTTTACCACCACATGTCTGTTTTGCAGAGCCGGTGTTGATGCTGCACCTGAGCTAGCATCTGACTCTGTTCTCAACAGCCAATCTGAAAGTGGTCCTCGGGTTGCCGCGGTGACAGAGCAGCAGCAGCAGCAGTTTGTGCAACAGATGCTACAGGCGCTGGCTAACACCGATAATGGGGTATCTGTCCTTACAACAAAAATGGAAAAGTGCTATGAGCTTGAATTTTTTGTACAGTGCTTGTTCTAACAATTCATAAAGAGGTTGCATTGTTGTTGTTCAAGCCTGAGGCCAGGAGCTGCTGTTTGTAGTACTTATTTTTAAAGAGTAAACAATTCAACAGACACGCACATTAAACTTTGTTAAAAATGCCGTGTCCTCTCAGGTCCACGTTGAGGACGCTGAGTTCCAGGACGAGCTGGAGCATCTGAGCTCAATGGGCTTCGGAGACAGAGAGGCAAACCTGCAGATCCTCATCAGCACCGGAGGAGACCTCTGCACTGCAATACAACAACTCCTCAGTCTCTGACACACACACACACACACACACACACACACACACACACACACACACACACACACACACACACACACACACACACACACACACACACACACACACACACACACACACACACACACACACACACACACACACAACGTAGTAAAAGGTTTTTCCTTCAAACTTCAGCTTGCTAACATCAGCCCTGCAAAAAAAAACATGGTATCATCAATAACATGTTCAGGGTTCAAATTAGGCCAACACATACAAATACTTTTAACTTAACAACTGAGAAACATAGCCTTACTATTCAGGATAGGATTTAAATTGGAGCAATATGATTACATTTCATTTGTCAGAGATTAACTCTTTGTGCTTTACTAAATCCTAGAATCCTGAAGTTTTGAAACAGATTTGTTTCATATGTTGCAATGGAACAACAATAATAACTTAAGTCAAAGAACATCATTTTAAATGGCTTATATTAAAGTGGACCTATCATGCTATATTATAATAATATAGTGTAGGACCATACCTATATAAGGCATATTTATACTTTTTTTTTTTCAAAATACCAAACAGATCATGCATTTTAGCCATGCCTCATTTCGCTCAATTTGAAATTGTTTAGCTCTGTTTTTGCAAGGGCTGATTCTGTGAGAACAGCACCATCTACAGGCCTGGCATATGTACTACAGCGTCTCCAGCGCTTTCGAACGGCAATGGCCGTGGCTGTCTCCTCCTGATTGGTGGAGTTGGCCCAATAGCCGTAGCGCCACTGTCCTGACGTCAGGACAGTGTTCAAATCTGGATCAGTTTTTATCAGATCCGTTGCAGCCCCTTTTTTAGAGATTTGGGTATGGAGGAAAATAGAGAGGGTTGTGTTTTCTGACACTTGGTGAGTTCCCTGGAACACCGGGGACACATATTCATGTATAAAAGACGTACAAAAGTGCATTTTGCATGATAGGTCCCCTTTAAATATTATATTCAGCTCCATTTGAGATTTAAACAAAGACCAAGAGTCTGTTATGATTATATTTGATGAAGAATACACATTTCATAAACAGGGTTTTGGACAAACATCTACCATTTTAGGAGATGGATCCTCACAAAACCTGTGGCAATGAACCCGAGAAAAGCTGTGGAGCCTGTGAAATCCTGCAAACCCACCCACACATAAACACACAAATACACAAACACACACACACATACACACATTCATCCTATAATGTACTGTAAGCACCTACACTCAAAACAAAATATCTCTATCAACGATTAATTAGTGCTTTACAAAAACATGCAAGACACATTTGTATTTCCACACTTTTAAGACACACTTATATGCATTCCTTAACTTCCATAACTAACCTCTGTCTGCATTATATTCAGTCCTAGCATTACAGTCCTTCTCAAAGTAATGTACCCATTACAATGGGTTTCGTTAACCCCTTTTTTCAAATAATTGATTTGAAAAGGGATTAGCAGTTCATTTAATTTACCAGTTGTTTGTTTCGATCATTCACTTTCAGTAAGAATGAATATGTAGATTTGTTTTTCTTCTAAGATTATTGTATTAGTCATTAAGTCTATAATATGAAACAGGGAAACATATTGATCTGAACTTCCCAGAGACTGAGGTTACGCCTTAAAGAAGACTCCCATAATTCCATTTGCAATTGTATGAAATGGAGAAAAGCAGCCAAATGTGCACATTTAAGTAACTGAAAACACATGTTGTACCCTGCCTTGGTGTAGCGATGAATAAAAACACGACTCAAAACACAAACTGGTTTCCCATCTTTTTATTGATAAGAACAGTTATCTAATAAAACATTTTATACATATAATCCACCTTCGCAAAATTTGAGAGATAATCCCACCATGAAACCCCATGGCCATGCTAATCTCTGCACATCTAAAATCTACTGTTGTACTTTTATACTACAAACACTAGAGGGGAGCAGTTACACTTAACCTCCTCAATAATATCAACTGTTTTCATTTGACCAGCTGGAATTGTGCACAAATATTTCATATCTAACAAATGTATTTAGATTAAGTGTAAATTATGAGACTGAAATATGTGTCTCCATGTTCACCTCAAACTATGTTTTTGCAAATATATTGATATAAACTAATAACAAATGAAGAAAAAACAATTTTTAGTGCATAATAGGATGTGTGTTGCTCTGTTTTCATCCCTGCTTTTGTGTCCTTACTCTGACACGGGGTGGACTAATACACGACACGTACTCTGACATCAGATATGTGTGTATGTGATCCACTTCACAACCTATGTGTGTTTGTCTGTTGCTGCCAGACTAAGGGGGTTTTAATCTCCTGTGGTGTGTGTGTGTGTGTGTGTGTGTGTGTGTGTGTGTGTGTGTGTGTGTGTGTGTGTGTGTGTGTGTGTGTGTGTGTGTGTGTGTGTGTGTGTGTGTGTGTGTGTGTGTGTGTGTGTGTGTGTGTGTGTGTGTGTGTGTGTGTGTGTGTGTGTGTGTGTGTGTGTGTGTGTGTGTGCGCACCCTTTCGTCTGCATGTGTGAGATATGAGAGTAGCCAAAGGGGTTTTCTGGATTAGAAGCTCCTAAAATATTCGAGTTGAGGTTTGCAGATGAGTCACTCCACAAAAACAGCCCAAGTGCTGAGTTGAGGTGTGTGTTGGGGGGAGTGTGTGAGGGGTCATGTGTGTGTATGAGTGTCCTTGAAGATGATTTTATGGATCAGGAAACGGGGATCGTGAAGCCTTGACCTGATCTGACCTTTAGTGTGGTTTCAACCTGTGGTCAGAGGAGCTCCTTACAGTGAGTAGCAGTTCATGTTTAACTCTGAATCCCTTTTACTGTTTTACTTTGTCGAATTTGGTGTGAAGATTGTACTTTAAGATTATTTGGTGCATTTGGCAGGCGATGTCAGTGCATGAAAGGTGGTGTGACAGATTAAATCAAATAAAAACATGATCTGCAATCGCTTGCAACTAATGCCAAGTTCCAAACTCCAGAAAAGCATGTTACATGTTTTATTTAAGTCAAGTAGTGTCTCCATTTTTCACAACAAAATTGCTGAAGCAGTGTGTATTTACAGTGCAAATATTTACAATACTTTACAGTTCTGCTCTTGAGTTAAAAATACTGTAGTTAATATCCACGACTGGCCCAAAACTGACCCCAAAAAATGGTCCGATTCAAACCCTTTAATATCAAATATAGCAGGAATATACTGGAATGGCACTGTGGCTGTGTTTTAAAATGCTTTTAGCACCACAGGATCATTCTGTACTGAAGCAGTAATGAGTAGATGAAAACCAAAACTCGCCCCCCACTTCACTCGGTATGACCTAGATATGGTCTGTGTTTAAGGACTTGGTGACGACTTGAGGCTGACTATGTGCTTCTCCACCTCCATGGCCATGTCTGTGATGCTCATCCTGATGTCCAGTGGCAACACGTTCTCTTTATCCAACGGAGGCTCTAAAACATCAAACTGTGAACACAGCAGATCTGCTTTCATGTAATGTCCCCTCCGGACCACCATCCTCTGCTGAATGAGATCGTAGTCTCCATAAAGAAAGAGAAAACAGACATCAGGAGAGGAGGCAGGCAGGCCATCTTGGTCTGGACCGGAGGAAGGGAAGGCTTTGGAGCCATGGAGCAGGATCTGTCTGTACAGACGCTTCAGGGCGGAGCACGCCACCAGGGCATCAGAGCCGGAGCTCCTCTCTCTGAGACACAAATGCATATTGTGAAGGAAGGAATTAGGAACAACTGCTGACTTGTACACTGTAATGATGTTTGGTCAATGTGGAAAATAAACTAAAAGTGAACCTTGGTCAAAAACAACTAACGGGAAAATGGAGGTGAAGAGAGAAAAGTGGCGACACAAGGATAAGCTGATAAATGTGTGGAAGAGTAGGGAAGCCTTTGATGTTGCCGCAGAGGTCTTAAGAAAGAGATGGCATACTTTCCAGCCCTCCCCACCTCTTCTCTCGCCTCACACTCAGTTAATCTGTTTTTTACTCTTCCAAACTGACTCTCCCCATGCTCTGGTCTTCACTCTGATTTTCAAAACCATCTTTGATAGTTTTGATCTTTTTTTCCAACAATTTCGAGCCGGCATATCCTTACCTCGCTACTCTTCTCTTTAGATCACTCTCACTCTTTAAACCCATTTATGTCATAACAAAGTAGGTTGTGTTTTCAGTGAAAAATGTGTCCATGTGCAAATGGTCTGTGAGTATGGAAGGTTTGTTTGTTCTTACCTCTCAATGACTTCATGTAGTTTGAGTAGCCAGGGTAATCTATCCTGAAGGGACAAATCTTTTTTAAGCAATGTTTTTAATCTTTTTGATCAATATTTTTTTTTCTGTTTTTTTTTTACCCATCAAGCCGTTGCGGAACAACATGCATTTGGATTCATATTTTTGGCCACCATACAAATGTAAGTCCAGTATTCACACATAGAAATATCTGACTCTTTCGTTGCTCAATGCATCAATATGTCAATGAGAATTGTGTTTCTGTGTGCTGAGAAGGTAGTGTAGCAGTGGGTTTATGTAGCTTTTTCTTTTGCTAAAAAAACTTCTGTGAGCGAAAAACAATGCTGAGGGTTAAATAAAAGCCCAATAAAGTTGAGGGGAGCTTCGGACCTGGGATTATTCTCGTGAATATTGTCATTTGATACACTTACATTGTAAAGCTGCTTATAGGAAGGAAAGAAATATATCGTATTAATTACTTTAATTCAGGGATTCCCAGGTGTTCAGGTCCCCCAGAGAGAAAAACAAAACACTGCATTTTTTTTAAATCGTGGATTTTGTTGTGGTCACCAGCATGAACATGATACAGGCTTTGCCCTTTAACGCTACTGAGCAGGTAAATCATTGCCCTTTAGATAGGCAAGCCATGTATCAAGAAGCAACACAGACACAGTGGGACCAGAGTATGTAATGGTAAAGCCTGTCATCATAGTGAAGATAGGTTCATAAATTCACCAAAATAGTTTTGAACTAAGTACAGACATGGCTCCTATAGAAAGACAACACTCGCATATGAAAAACATTTATTTTTCAATCGAAGTGTGATCACAGTTGCAGTCAGTGATGTTTATATTGGATCTTATTATTCAAAGTCAGAACTCACTGCCAATATTTTCTGTTTAATAGACTTGAGTCTTACCAAATAAAATAACTAATGGGGCAGACAGACATGGCAACACAAACACATCTTTGATCAAACAGAAATCAGAAATAGAATCAGTGCTAATTTGATAACAACTGACCCAGAGTCACATTTTTATATCATACACTGCCGTGTCTTTAATATGAAGAGCTGAACTCGGATGACAGGAAATGTCCTGTTTGGTTAGGCCAAACCTCAACCTGCCAACTCTTATCCTGGCATGAAAGACACATTTTAGCTACAGCCAGGCAGTAATCTCAAATTTGTATTTATTCTCAAACTGCCAAGTTTTGAGTACTTTTTAAAAACATGCCAAAGAACTGGACAGAACAGATCCCGGGGCAATCCTTCCCAGAGTTCAAAGCAAATGTCTGAGTGGGAGGTTATCATGAGCCACCAAACACACTGCTACCAGCAAACTGCTGTCAAATATTTGCAGGGCTCGTGATGCCTGTTAGCTCGTAAACTCAACTTTGGCAGGCAGCCAGGCAATTGTTTAGAGGTCTACCTTTATTTTGAGAGTCACCATAAACAGGAAAAAAAGGGGTAGATATTGGACAAGGGTTACACACACACACACACACACACACACACACACACACACACACACACACACACACACACACACACACACACACACACACACACACACACACACACACACACACACACACACACACACACACACACACACACACACACACACACACACACACCTGGTCTGTAAGTGGTTCACTTCGAGCCATCTTCTCAATGTTCCCCTGTGGATGGAAGCTATCCCCTTCATGCAGAGGCCAGCCCAGCTGATTGGTGGATACACACACATGAATGCACTGTTATTATGTCATAGCGTTTGCAGAAACACAAAGGTGTGTGTAGGACAACAGATGGACCTAATTACCTTTTCCGATAGGAAGGCCCCTAAGGCACTTCTGTAAAAAAAAAAAGGCGACATAAAATAAATAGTTGATACAATGCAAAAAAGCCTTATATTAGACAAAACAAGCAGTTAGAAGCCATTGCTTTGGGTGTATAGGAAACTGTGATGATCATCTGTTACTATTTGCTGATATAATACAGACAAAATAATTAATTAATCAATGGCGAAAGAAATTGGACAATTCAATAATTAGTACTTGCAGCTCCACTATTGTATTTTGGTGTTAGATTGCACCCCTTACATTATTGTGATGGAGTCAGCTTACTATTTTCTTCAGCATCCTTGAAACAGATGCCTGTGTACTGTAGTTAATCATGTAATGGCACATTAATAGTTGATAAACCACCAACTAGTTATCACTATCAATCAATCAATCAATGTTTATTTATATAGCCCAATATCATAAATGTTACATTTGTCTCAGTGGACTTCACAGTTTGTACAGAATATCGTATGACAATACGACACCCTCACTAAGTGGAATCTGATATGCTTTATAGTATTCTAAATAATTTAAACATATGTAACCCACATTTGACTCAATACATGTAATATGTTAGTTAACTGTATTTAATGTGCTTCTTATGTGAGATGCTCTCCTAAAAAAAAAGAAACAGACAGTATACATACTTCCCGCAGCCTGAGACTCCCATTATGATGTAGATCATCCTGTCTGTAGACCTTAAGACACCTAAAGGCAGAAAAATCCCTTAACTGCTGCCGAAGACTTGCAGCTCTGCATGGTCTACACATCTTCCGTTATGTAAATGTTTAAACCATTGAACCATGTGTCTATAAGATATGTGCTCACGTGATTTAACCTACTGTAATAAACAACTTTCGTGGCTTCCGTAGATGTTAGGACCCATGCAAAGGTGTAGTCCACCACTAAGCATATTTCACTGGCTCTGATAAGTAAACTTCTTAAAACAACAATAGCGTATACTGTGGTTTAGCGAAGGAAACTCACTTAAAAGCAAAAAACCTCACAGGTTCCTTGTGGTGTGTCTGCTTAATCAGTATTCTTATAAAAGAGGTGATCAAATATCCTCCAAGCCTCCACTACGGCTACAGGCTTGTTTTGCTGAAGTACGTGATGACGTAGCACGCACGCTGGCAACGTTTGCACTTAAAGGGGCAGATTACGTAGCAGCTAAAATGTCTTTGACATCATTATTAGATGAATATAACATGTAATTTCACAGATAAAATGAGTTTTGACCGCAGCTGTTTGTGATTTTGATCACAGGTTAAATCACCTTATTATATAATTGAATGGGATAATATGTGTTTCTCAAAATATCACAGGTAATTTAGGCATTAAGTCTACACCACTGAAGATATGATGAGGCACAGTTAAGGGCAGTGCAATTATACAAATTGTTATTCACAGGTAGGATTTTCTTTATTACAGCATACATATAACATATTTTACCGTTAGGCCCTTATGTAAAATAACCCCATGCTTGTTTAAATCACCCTTACAACGTGGGTGAACTATTACATCAAGTCCAAGTGAATACAACATTGCACAGGGCAGGTGATATACTTTTACCACCTGGCAGTTACTTATGATACACGTGGGTCGTGACTGTGTTGTTTTTTGATGAAAATTAGAAAGAGAGAAAAAGTGAGGGTGAGCAAGCCAGAGAGAGAGAAGGGGAGGAAGAGAGCGAGGAGAAGGAAGGGGGAAAGCTATCCTCCCTCCTGTAGATCCAGCAGTGTGCAGACAGGATGCAAGCCCTCCTCTCTCCCGCTCTGTAACATCCATTCTCTAACCCATCCAACCATCTCTACCATCTCATTCATTCCCAAGGGCGTCACAAGGGGGGACAAGACCCGACTGCAAGGCGCATGCATGTATGGGTGTGTATGCACGAGTACCCCCTACCCCGCGTGTGCGTATCTGTTCTGCCTGTGGAACCGCTGACATGAGGAGCTGAAACAGACCCGACAGAAGGATGAAAATGCTCCGGTTTCGCAGCCCAAGCATCCGCTCCTTGGACCAGGAGGTCCTCTGCACGATCCGGCTCCTGGACGACTCCGAGATCTCCTGCAGCATCCAGGTATACCAAACGCTCATGTATTGTCCTCTGTGGTTATTGCAAATATCACGTGGACGCAGCAGATAACATATACGGGTGAATTAAAGTACTATCGATTTAACAACCCTATATTGTTCATTATCCCTCTTATTGTATTGCATTTGTACACTGCCATTACCATTTGAACGTATTATTCTACTTCCCATGCTGCTGTCATGCACTGAAAAGGATGCATGCTTTTTGCTCCATAGCCTACTGCACATATGAGATATGGAGCAAAGAGGAAAAAAGCCCTACCCTATAGTGATGTGTTGGGCCCAAGCAACACGTTAGCCAAATTGAGTGAAGTTAAGACTAAGTTTAATTCATAGCAGAGGAAATGATGGAGCTGTTGGGTGTGGTGTGGTGATGATAGTGATGATGAGGGCAGACAGGGCTGTTGTTATTGATTGAATCCTCAGCACGCACATAGAAAGTGTGTGCAGAGACAGTTGTGCTTACTGATCTGCTTTTATGTCTATTGTCTGCCTATAGGCTCATGTTGTTTCCACCAAGCCATCATCAATGGCCCTGTCACCTGTATAGCACTCAGCTGATGAGAAGCTGCATTGTCAAACTAAAGCCAAGGATTTATAAACAATTTAGAATCTATCATTTATTTTGAAATGAGAGGTTGCACAGTCCATTTAATACAGAGTAATCTCAAGACCCAAAAAATAATTCTGTTCATAATCCGTCTCAGTTATCGACCCATTAACCCAATGTTGTTTTCGGGTCTCCCGTGACCTGTTTCAAGTTAAAATTATATAATAACTACGCTCTAGTTTTTTTTTATCTGAACAAGGCTTCATGATATCCTCCACAACAGCTATATAAACACTACAAAACTGCTTTTGAAAATGTTAGCCAAGTCTGAAGGTCTCTAAAAAAAAAAGAGTATAATTTGGTGTTTGGGTCTGGGAAGACCCAGCAGAATAGTTGTTGGTGACTCGGGTCAAATTTGGCCCAATCAAGATTCATCTTTGACTTTAGACACCCCACCCCCACCCCCCTTTATCCACTGTAACAATAATTGTTCGCAACATGCACCTGGTCTCCCATCCCTCTGGCCCCCCTCCCCCCACGGGAACTCAACCTTTCTCAAATAATGTGTACACCAACACTTGAACCTGAACACACACATGCACAATATGTGGTGTAATGTGTTTTGGGGCCATAAAATACAATTACAACAGGATTTTACGGCTATGAATGCATAATAAGTTATGATAAAACAATATTGGATGATAGTAATTTTTTTTGGGTGTTTTGGACTGAAATAAATCATGGGTCAAAATGTACCCGCGAACACCATGAGCGGTAACAGCTTTCGAACACAACACAAGGGTTAAATGAGGCCTTTGTGAAATGTTTGCATGTACACTTACTGTACTAACATGTTAT